ACCACACAAAATTGACAGTAAGCAACATTTCCTGCAGCATTGTTGACTTTCAGAATGTTTTGTACAATATTCCCGGAGTTTTTCTGCTCAGATGATGAGGGGGATATGATTATTGCAACTTATTTAGCCAAATAAAAATATAAAAAAGTAAAAAAAGAACAAAAAAAAGAGAGAAAACATTGTTAGCCTTGCAAGGAAAATGGAGAGTGATTAGGCAACAGAACTAGTCATTCACTCTTGGGAGAAAGAGCACTTCTGACACTTGTGGAGTAAATATCAAAAGTGTAACCTCCTACATGGCTTATGCTGTTATTGATGTCAAAATAATATGAGAATAGGCATGTTTTACTTTTTCGGGTGTTGCTTATGATAAGTATATGACTGAAATTAAAAAGAAAAAAACAAAAAAAGAGGATGAAGCATTACTGTCGATGAGGAAGCACAGCCCATCATAGAAAACATCAGAATATGAAGTAGAACTTGTGCTTCATGAGGTAGATGAGCATGATGAGGGTCTGTATGTACTCCTCTCTACAGACATATTTAGCCAAGTGATATGCTTATGAAAAATGTCTTGCTATCATATCGTTATACACTATCCTAAAGTTCCCCCTCCCCACCCACCCCCTGCACACTTGTAATCTGTTGCAGAAGTCAGTTAGCCACTTTTGAAAGCTAACCCACCCAAAAAACTTCCAAGTCTTCAGAAAAGTTGGCCAAAATTTGTAGTTGAAGGAGAGGCAAAGAGGTCTACAGGCACTTGTATTATATAATTCTTCCTCTCTTTCCAGATCTCTATAGCGGTAAATGGAGACGTTTATATCCTGTATGAGTGAAGATGAATATAGAAGAGTTATTATATTGAGCTCCAGCCCCTTGTCAACCTGTTCTAAACCATTTATGCGAAGAGCCTACAAGTCATATAGCCACTTGTTGATGCATTGTTTAGAGAGAAAACGGTAGACGGAAGTGGATTATTTTTCTAATTTGACCAAGTAAGCAGTGAATCCTCAAATGAAATTTCATCATATTTTTTAGATATTTCTATTGGATTTAATAAAGTGAGAAGAGAGTCCTTTTTTTTTTAACAACTTTGTATAAATATTAAAAGCTTTACACCAAACTTTCCCTTTGCTGTTTTTGGCAGCCTATTTAACTTGCATGCATTGAGAATCCTATTTTTTATTACTCTTTAAGTTACGAGATAGTACTGCACTTTTGTCGGTCTTTACTACCTTTCCAACATTTAGCTGATGTTTCTTGAAGAGTAGTCAGGCATTTTTCAATTTATTTATAGTGTTTAACTTGACCCTGGTATAAAAATAAAAATTGTCCGCTCAGTCGCCGGGAGCCAGATCTTTTTGTCATATTGCAGAGGTCAACTTTCCGCTCACGACAACTAAACGGTTTTTAAAAAGACAATGCCCTAGCACGTGACAAGTTTTTAAAGACTATACAGGTGTGAAGGTAATGGGGATCATATAAAGGTACTTCTAGAGTGCTGGATACTAAGGGAGTGTTGCCTTTTTTTCTTTTTGTTTTGCCAAGACCGAAACAGGATTTTTTTCCAAGCACCAAGTTCGATCGAGTTTGTTAATACATTGAAGTGTACTTTTTAACTTTTTACTTGACTACTACTGTGTGTAGGAAAACTTGAAGATTACTTGTCTTTTGTAAACATTGTTTTTTTTTGTTTTGTTTTTTTAAGTTTTTGTTTTTTTGTTTTTATTCTTATTTTTGATCTTTTCTTTGGTTGGCAGGCTATCTATACTTGTCGTGTAGCTTATATGTCTCACCTGCACCCTAAATATACCAGTTGGAAATGGAGAATTTTGAAGGAGGACTTGAAGGTGCAAGACGTTTGTATTAGATTTCATTATCATATGATATATCTATATATATCTATCTATATATATATTTATATAATATATATAAATATTCACCCTTAGTACCCAGCAATCATATCCGCGTGTAACTCTTGTGCATATGAGAATGATATTATTCATGTCTGTGCTACTTATCAATGCTGTATACCTACTTCACGAGGCCCTTTCCCCCCTCCCCTCCCCCTTCCCCACTCCCACAAGACTAATAGGACCTACCTTCCAGTGATTCCATAAACGCTGCAGACTGTTATCCAACCCTCCTCTGGACAATATTTTTTTTTTCTTTTGTTCATGTACGAGGTTTGGAAGTGCTGCTCTCCCATAGAAAGTAGTAATTCTCCACTGCTATGGAAAGGAAAATTGTACCATTTCTTTGTACCATTTACTGCTGTTTGAATCTTCAAAAGTGTGATGAAATGGGAGGGCTGGGGACTATTTTATATCGCGTGCAGAAGAGATGGCTGTCTTTAGACGCAGGCTGTCAAGAGTAGAAGTGAATGCTGCTGGCGAGGAACAAACGTCAAGAGCTGGTCAAGAAGTTTGGTTCATCTGGAGTGCAGACATCGCATCTACTGACTTGTACTAATATGACATCTATCATATAATGTGGATGCTATGGTATATTCTAGGACAACCTTCAACAACATTCTAATCAGAAAATAAAATTCAAAACATTTCACATATGGAAATTTTATTTACCGTACCATTTCCCCCAAAGAACCGGGTTCATTAAGGTGTTAAAGAATAAATAGATGATGTGTCAATATTGTAAAGTGTAAAGTCAGTTTTTCTTTATTATTTGCCAAGCAGGCTGTGATTCCTTGTTTCTATCTGCTTTTCTGCTTTTTTGTGTGATAAACACTTGAGTTAACCTTGAACATTTATTTTTGTTTTTTAAATAACTGACATTTGTAAGTGGATCAGTGAGAAATTCAGGAAATAATGTTTTATGATCATCATCATCATGATAACTACTACTACTGCTATTACTACTACTACTACTACTACTGATATTTGATATGATGAGAGTAATCACCTTATAGTAGTAATAATGACATTTTTAATATAATAACTTATAAAGAATGACAATGATTGAGAATTATAATGATAGATAATGATAGTGGTGGTGGTGGTGATTGCATATAACTAAGCATCCAGAGTTAATACCAAGAAACCATCAAGGAAAGTCACAGTAAAAAGAGCACATTACTTAGGGAGAGAGAGCTTGTATAAGTAAAATATAGAGTAATATATCTGGAAATCTGGAATGTGTTGTAGATGAACCTGAGGAAGGGAATGGTACGTGGCAAAGTTCTTGCTGGTGAATGAGATGTGTATAGAAGGCTTATGTCCTGGTGTGATTGGAAGAGTTGTGTTGAAGTGAAATGTATGAGGAAGTGTGCATTCGTTTGGTGAAGAATTAGAGTGGACATAGTGAGATGGAAAAAGAAAGACAGACAGACAAATTAATATAGTGGAAAAAAGAGACAAACCAAATTGATTCAGAGACAAAAAAAATAGACACGATATAAAGAAGAGTCACCAACTTGCAGAGCAAACAAAAGACTGGGAGTGTATGCATTGAATCTTTACAAAATATCCCACTTTACAAAGCTGAGAGGTTTTCAGGAGGGAGGAGTGCAGTAAACGACTCTGAAGGAGGAATATTCTAAGACGGGACAGTGACGTAGCCAAGGAGTTATCAGTAGGTGAACAGCTGGTGGAGACACTTGGCAAGTGGAGCGGTGAAGTATTCTGATGCAACAGGAGGGTACTGAGGCATATCCTAAAATCAAATTACTGGAGAGCAAGAGGGCGTTGTACAGTCGCAGATATAAACATCGTATCAAAACAACATGTGCAGTCATGGTTAAAATCATTATTATACATAAAAGAGATTACACTGCGGAGGGGACACCGGATTCGGACAGGGTACACTGACCCCCCCCCCCCTCCACCACAAGGGAGCTCCCCATAGCTACATCGCTGGTACTGTGTGGAAAGGAACAGCGAGAGGAAGTAGGTCTTTTTGTATAGGATAAGGAAGAGGAAGACACTGATTGGTTACTTGATTGATAAAAGAGAGGGAAGATATGAATGGAGAAAGGTGGAAGAGAGAGAAATGAGAGCTCAGGTATTGGGGGAGGGAAGGTTGAGGAGAGGAAGAAAGTAGATAATGAATAATGGATAAGAACATACACATGACCTTTTTGTCATTCTTTCTGCCGCACTAATTCACTATCTGACCATCTGTGTCTATCTGTCAATATATGTCTATTTACCTATCTATTTGCCCTCCCTTTTATCTGTCTTAATGCTGTTTATCTGTCTGTCAGCCTAGCTATTTGCCCACCTATCTATTAGTATGTTTAAAACACATGTATGTATATATAATGTATGTATGCATGTATGTATATGTGCATGTGCGTATGTGTGTACACACGTATGTATGCATACATACATACATACATATATTATATATATATATATATATATATATATATATATATATATATATATATTATATATATATATATATATATATATATATATATATATACATGTATGTATATATATATATATATATATATATATATATATATATATATATATTATATATATATATATATGTGTGTGTGTGTGTGTGTGTGTGGTATAGTGTAGTGTAGTGCAGTGTGTGTTTGTGTGCGTGTGTATGTTTGTGTGTGTGTGTGTGTGTGTGTGTGTGTGTGTGTGTGTGTGTGTGTGTGTGTGTGTGTGTGTGTGTGTGTGTGTGTGTGTGTGTGTGTGTGTGTGTGTTTGGACACAGAAACATGTTTTTAGATACATATACATATATATCGAACACTTACGTGTGTGTGTATATATATATAAATATACACACATACACACACACACACACACCACACACACACACACACACACACACACACACACACACACACACACACACACACACACACACACACACACACGCACACACAATATATATATTATATATATATATATATATATATATATAATATATATACATACATATATATATATATATATATATATATATATATATATATATATATAATATATATATATATATATATATATATATATATA